CTTGAGCCTGAAGCCTGTTTTCCTAGAAAATCTTCCAAAAATCTCAGAGGAGTCCAATAAAGAGCTGGACAGTGCCCTGACCTTAGGAGAGCTTTATACAGCACTCCAGAGTATGGAGTCTGGAAAAACTCCAGGTATGGATGGGCTGCCGGTTGAGTTTCTGAAAACCTTCTGGTCTGAGATTGGAGTTGATCTGCTGGAGGTGTTCAATGATAGCTTACTGAAGGGTGGGTTGCCGTTAAGCTGCCGAAGAGCAGTGGTTACTCTTCTCCCCAAAAAAAGGAGATCTCACTGAGATTAAAAATTGAAGGCCGGTCTCACTTTTATGCAGTGATTACAAATTACTTTCAAAAACATTGGCAATCAGATTGGCTAAGGTAATGGGACAGGTGATCCATCCGGATCAGTCTTACTGTGTACCTTGTAGGTCAATTTTTGACAATATTTCTTTTATTAGGGATATTACACAGGGGTGATCCATATCAGTCTTACTGTGTACCTTGTAGGTCAATTTTTGACAATATTTCTTTTATTAGGGATATTACACAGGTTTCTAAAATACTTGATATCAAATGCGGTCTGTTGTCCTTAGATCAAGAAAAAGCATTCGACAGAGTGGAACATTCATATTTAACGAATACCTTGGAAGCCTTTGGTTTCCATGAAAATTTTTTAAGTATGCTAAAAATTATTTATAGTGACATTGAGAGTGTAGTTAAGATTAATGGTGGCTTATGTGCTCCATTCAAGGTTAATAGGGGAATTAGACAAGGATGTTCATTGTCAGGTATGTTATATTCTATTGCTATTGAACCACTACTCCAGCAAATTAGGAAGAGGTTGGATGGGTTAAGAGTACCACAGTGTGATTTGAATTTTTGTTTATCAGCCTATGCTGATGACGTTATAATAATAATCAATAAACAAGAGGATATACATGTCCTATCGAAATTAATAGAGGAATTTGGAAAATGGTCTTCAGCAAAGGTTAATTGGAAGAAAAGTGATGCTTTGTTATTAGGAGATTGGCATGATGGAAAACCAACTCTACCTGAAGGTTTATGTTGGAGTAGATGGGGCATAAGATATCTTGGAGTGTTTTTAGGAGATGACAGTGTTTCACAAAAAAACTGGGATGGAATGTTACAGAAAGTTAGAGGTCGTCTAGACAAATGGAAATGGCTCTTACCTAACATGTCCTTTAGAGGTCGAACACTTATTGTCAATAACTTGGTTGCCTCACTTTTATGGCATAGACTGGCATGTATTGACCCTCCTGCAAAATTGATGGCTGAAATTCAAGCGGTCTTTGTTGATTTCTTTTGGGATAAATTTCATTTGATCCCACAGAGCATATTGTATTTACCGAAAGAGTCAAGGTTTAATTCATTTACAGTGCAGGATTGCAACTTTCCGGTTACATTTTATACAGCGGAGAACATGTCAACTAGATACGCCCCAGAGACAGATCCCCTGCGAAGACCTCATCACCTCGACGACCATCGGAACAAGACCACGGGAACCAGACACATCCTCTGCACCTGTGTTGCAGCCTGGAATGAAACCACATCATGCTGGTTTCGTCTGGCCAGAGGAGAACTGCCCCCCGACTGAGACTGCCAGGGTTTTTTCTCCATTTCTGTCACCCATGGAGTTTTGGTTCCTTACCACTGTCGTCTTCGGCTTGCTAAGTTGGGGACGCTTGACTGATTGCACAGACACTATTGGAAGAGAGCTGAACTGGATGAGGACATCACTGAATCATCAATGAACTCACATTAGTTGAAAAAGGACTCTGATATTGTCGTCTTGCATTATTGACAAACTATTTTCCTGTGTGACACTGTAAAGCTGCTTTGACACAATCAGTATTCTATAAAGCACTATACAAATAAAGGTGACTTGACTTGACTTCATGGAAAAATTTGGGCACGAATGTCTCCGGTGTGATTATTATTATTATTATTATTATTATTATTATTATTATTATCATTGTTATTATTATTATTTAAATAAATATATTAAATAAACATAAATCTTCACTTAAATAAAAACAATCAATTTATGCATTTATTTTGTGATTGTTTGGTTTTTTTTTTTTTTTATTTAAAAATTACAAAATTACTCAATTGACTTTCATGCAAAATATGCAATTTTTTTTTTTGTTAAACTTGTTTTATTTATCAGTTAATTAATTAATTAATTAATTAATTCACTTGCTTCAGTAAAAAAAAAAATATATATATATTTCCAGTAACCGCCAAAACCTCAAAATTTGGTATACTTTGGTGACATCTGATGACATATGTTGGTTTAAAAATAGCAATAACATGTAATATCAATGGCCACTAGATGGCTGTAGAAGGCCTACTCACTGGCTGCATAGGCTGAAATCTAAACCAATGTTGTAACAAACCCGGATATTGACCTGTGCTCTTTTATGTGGTAATGATATTAATTAGGGGGCGTTTACAAGGCGGAGATCTGACACCAGTCAGCTGCATACAATTTCAAGATCATTTGCGATTTATAAATGTCACATCTGGAAGAGAGGCTTACGCATGTGTTTTTGTGCGCACGTTTGTTTTCTCTGAATCGCACTTATGCACTTTGAGAAATTATCTTAGAACAAATTTAGGATGGTTTATACGCAACATTTTATGAATGAGGCCCCTGGAATAATTATTTAAGACAATCAGTTTCAGTAGTTCATATGAATAAATTATTAGATCATATATGAAATGCACATTTCTGACATCATAGACAAATAAACACATTGATGCTGACATTTTATTCTTAACCAGCTATTTTAAGCCAGTTTGGCTTGTTAAGTGACTTGATATTTATATATACTTTCTACACAAGGTTAAAATGAGTTTACTTTAAAAAAATGCAGGCAATGAACTGCTTAATCAATAGTGTGCATATTTTCTGGTAATACTGTGAGAACTGATTATATAACAACCCAAAGCTTTTTATTTTATTGTATTTATTTATTTTTACTTTACTGAAGTTCACACTCAATCTCAATTTTAGTTTATACCACAATGTATTGCACATGTAGCTTTACAGTTGAGCAGGCTGAAGCAATGATCAACTGCTTTGCATTAAATTATCTTTTCTCTCACATGTATAGCAATGGGTCTCATTTGGGCAGTCGTGGCCAAATGGTTAGAGAGTCAAACTTGTAACCCAAAGGTCGCTAAAATTCGAGTCTCAGTACCAGCAGGGATTGTAGGTGGGGGGAGTGAGTGAACAGTGCTCTCTTCCACCTTCAATACAATGACTGAGGTGAGACCCTTGAGAAAGGGTGTGTGTGTGTGTGTGCACTTGGATGGGTTAAATGCAGAGCACAAATTCAGAGTATGGGATGCCACATCACATCATTTTTTTTTTTAATTCAGTTGGTCAATTCTAATGACCTGGTTAAATAAAAGGTTCATACACAGCAAGCCCCCCAGTGTTAAATTAACACAATTCAGTGTTTATATAACCTAAATCACAGGAATAACACAACAAAACATTTAGCAAATTGTTTGAGGTTGCAACCTTTTCTGTTAAGTTATCAGACATCCGGTATCCAAAAATTATATTATTAATTATGAAATTATACTATTCATTTAAAGTCATGGAGTATTTATTTTATTTATTATTGACTTTTAAGATAACTCTTCAAATATAATACTTGTTAAATAGCAGTCACTAGGTGTGAGGGACCGAGCAGTAAAGCAATGCGAGACATGAAAAATGGTTTCCCAAAAAACTAAAATGTAATTATTTTAATAAATCCAAAATAAAGTTCACACTTCAAATCAACATTGCACAACAAAGAAAATTAAATCAAATAACTAGGCCTATCAATGAAACTCAACAAAGACATGTGCCAACCAAACTAAACTGACCTACCAAATGACACAACAGGGACACATTTATACAATTGGACTAGTCCATCTTACACATAAGGTGGGAAACAGAAACAAACTACAAAGTACCACAACAAATAAATAACAAACTACTTAAATGCTTGAAACAAAAAGGTTAAATATTAATCCTAAATAACCCCAAACAAATTACAATTTATAGAAATAAATAATTAAACAAACAGTCCTAAATTAAACAATCTCAATTCTCCCGGAAGTTCATCTGTCCGTTGGTGCCAGCAAGTGGAACTAAAGAATGGTGGAGGCAGCATGGCGGTCCTTTAGATAAACGGACCCCGTACCGGAAGCTCGGGAACCTCCGCAACTCTCCACACGACCCACAGCATGGTAACTTACACTCAAAAGAAAACTGGATTAACAAAAATATACAGCACAGCGAATTAAATTGTGTGCACTCCAATTAGTTACAATGTACTGTTATTAAATAAAATATTTTGCAATGACAAATAAACCGAGTTTGTGTCTTATTGAAACACAAAATTCAATTCATTAAATTAATCTAAATTAAATACAAACAAAACTAAGAGACTTTTTAAACTAAATCAATAGGTACCTAAGAGTGTATGTGGATGTGTGTGTGTGTTTACCGCTCATTAAAACGCTCACTGATGTGTATCCATGTTGTGGGCCATCACACTAGGCATAAAATGCCATATACTGTAAAAATCAATGGTCGACATATATTGATTTGTTAAACTAATAATAATTCTTAAACATTCTGGTATTTTTTACTTGTTCATCTTTTTCTCATGCTGCAGTAAAGGCAATTATTGCACCACTAACTGCATGGAACCACACAGTGCAAAAGCAGGGATTTAAAATCTGCCTATGTTTGCTATACAAGAAAACTATGCACACTGTTAATTAACAGATTAAACTAAAATGCTTCCAAGACTGCTTAAAGAGAGAGAGACTACTAAAAACAGAGAAGAAAAATAAGTTCAGGGTGAAATTTTTAAGTTCTTATCATCAGATTTGCAGAAATTTACTAGCATTGATTTATCACTGTAAGCAGTCTTCTTCATTTTCATTAATTCATCTTGTCTTCTTTGCATTTGTTCATTGCCCAGTCATGAAACGTTTTGCCAGACCAGCTTTGAGATAATTCAGAGCATCTTTATTGGCTTCATCAGCTACATCTTTTCTCCTCATTTCCTCCAGCTCTCGGACCCAGGTTTCTTTCCCAGCCTCCCTCACTCTGGGGATGAAGAAGTCCAGATGCTGAAGAGTGATAATAGAGTCTGGTTTTAATGCAATCTGAGACAGATGCTTGATGGTCCTGTAAGCATTGAGCAGAAGAATTGACTTTTGGGTGTCAATCTCCTGCAGATCTTTGTCAAGATGTTGCATTATAACCAAAAACCCCTTGGTTTGTTCTTGAGCTTTTTCATATTCCATTTTTATAGAGTCAAATTCTATTGTCGTGCTTGAGGTTCTGATGACATATTTCTTGTCTTCTTTGACGTGTTTGCTGTGATGACACTTCCCTGTGCACACGGTGCAGAAACCGTTTTTCATGACTTCACATTTGCTGAGATCATTACTCCACCAGCAGTCAAACTCATGACAGTTTTCCTCACAGACGGTGCAGGTCGTTGCCTTCCTGTTCTTCCATGACTTGCTCTCGATGGGCACCTTCTCTTTGACAGTCTTTTTTACTTTAATGCTGAAGTTTTCACACTTATCAATCTTTTCCTTGTTTTGCACCATTGCCTCCTGGATCTGAAGTTTTTCAGCCTTTTTCAGCTCGTTCTCTTGAACTCGCAGCGTTAAGTTGCAGATAAAGGCTTCAAACTGAAGGCGTTCAATCAGGAAATGTAAAGTCAACTCTAAACTTCTTCTGTTCTTTTCATCCAGAGACTGAAGGAAATGCATCATGCCGTCCACGCTGTCTTCCCAGGCATCTCTTTGAGCACGAACGTGACGTTCTTTAGTGTGACGGGCTTCAACCTGCCGGTTGTTGAATAAGAAATAAACAGGTTGCCCGTGTTTGTCTCGTCTGCAGGGGATTTTAGCTTTATTAATGGCACCAATGACATTTTTGGGAGGCAGACCATCAGAGTGTGTCATTAAAAACACAATGTTGTTTTCAATGTCTTTTCCAAACAAAGACAGAATTGAACTGATAATGTAATGCTGTCTGTCTGAGAGACGATTCTTAGATGCTTGAGTCACAAAACACACGGCATCGACTTCACAAACTCCATCATTGCACTGAAACAGAGTGGCTAAATTCTCAGCAACTTCCAGATCTTTATCCAGTCCTCTAGTGTCTCCGTAGCCTGGAGTATTAATGATGGTGAGCGATATGGGACTCTCTTCAGGAAAGACCTCATACATGGTGATTTCAGAGGTTTGTGATTCTGATTGATCTCCAGCTGCTTCTTCTGTGATTTCATACCATTCTTCATCTTCAAACTTCACTCCCAGTAAGTAGTTGACCATAGTGTTGATGAGAGTCTTCTTGCCGACACCGGTCTCTCCCACCAACAGAACAATTTTGATTGGTTTACTGGTGTCTTTTTCCCCATATGTCCATTTTCTGACTTTCCCATTGTCATCAAGCACGTTTCTCTCTGTATGTAGACAGAATCTTTTTGGAGGACCTTCATGAATCAGAGTTAGTTTGCTTTCTGGAAATCTCAGCTCTCTGTAAAATGCAGATGGAGGCACATATTTCTGAGACTGTCTGTGGAGAAAGAATTCAAAATCACGAGCACATCAAAATACATACATACATTTTCAACATGAACATAATAGTGTAAGTGTTTTTGCATTAATCAATTTGACCTAAATGGTTGTAGGGGCCACACTTAATTTCGATCGCTTTACTTAATGTTCTGAATAGTTTTGTAAATAATAGCCTACTATAAATGTTCAACATGCCAATAAAGCTTTGATTTATGTTGTATGACTGGAATTTTTACTGGAAAGGCAGTTTAAAGGTTGAATTTAACATATATTTAATTTTATTTCTGCAAATTAATAGACTATAATTATAAATACTATAGTGTTTAGTTGAGGAATGAATCATCCGTGCATCATTTGTAAATGAAAACACAACACGCTCATTTATGATCACACACAAGCGTAAATACAATCATAAACTCAAAACTTTATTGGCATAATTGTCAGGCGTTTACATTTGCAAAATATGGTAGCATATTAAAGGGGTCATATGATGCTTTTTTAAAGATCATTATTTTGTGTATTTGGTGTAACCGAATATGTTGACTACACTTTCAGAAAAAAATGGCTTTATAAAGGTAAGAATGCCCATGAAAGTTAAAAATCTATTTAAACTTATTGGAAAAGATTAATTTCCATCACTGTTGTGAACTGACCCGCACACAGAATATGAATATCAAAAACTTTAGGAGTCAGCTCTCCACGGTAGTCCTTAAGATATCAGCACAATAACACACTCAGCAAAATATTGTCTAATTATCTTTATTGATAAAATCACAGAAAATATTGAGATATTATTTTTTGTCAATATCGCACACCCCTAGTGCTGACAAAATGATTTGCAACGGTCGCTTTGTCACGCCCAGTGAAGACGGCCTCAAACTGTTGGTGTATTTCTGTCTTTTTTTTGTTTGTTTTTTTGGCTAGTAGACGTTTTTTGGCCGGTAACTTAAAAATTTAGTAGCCAAATTGGCTGGTGAGTGAAAAAGTTAATTTCAATCCCTGAATGTCACATTAAAAGTTTTACTTTAAAGTACATTTCAAATCATTATGTTTTAATAATATTTTGTTGTGTTATAAAGAAGTACACTTATTTTAATGTGTTGATTAACGTACTAAAGCACATTAGCAGTGGTCACCAACCTTTTTAGGCCCAAGATGACCTCGGCCTTTATGAAAGACAAGATCTATCTATTGAAGAATTGATAGAATGAACAACAACCCGTGGCAACAGTGTTAAAGTAGCCCAATTCTTGGCAACACTGCTTATGAACCGACCGCACTATAGCATTTCCTTGTTTACCGCTGTAAAGTTGCGCTTTATACGGAGAAGAAAATGCCATAGCCATCGAAACTTTTCTCAAGACAGTTCCCTTCAGTGATACATTAATATAACCCCATAAATGTAATGCATTTTTGTACTTA